ACTCTCTGCTTCTGCTTCCCGCGCGCGCTGGCGCTTCGCGGACGCTTCCGCCTCCTGCCTGTGCCATTTCCTCATGAACCATGCCGCCCCGTCCTCGACCTTGTTGTACCACACCTCCGGGTCCTTGGCGCTCCTTTTCCATTTTCCCCCCTTCCTTTTTGTCTCCCATGTTGAAGACCACGAGGTCCTCTCCTAGACGAGACACCCAGTCGCTCTGCTGCCCGCCGCGGTCTCCCACGCCCCCCGCCATCGCTCCTAACAGCATGCGCTTGGGGAGATGGTTGTCCTCCATGCGCATAACAAAGCCCGCGAAAAACAGTGTCCGTTTGAGCACGGTGGCCCCGATGGTTTCCTCGCAGCTTGCCTGGATGAGGGCCCGGGCATGGGACAGGGGGCGGTCTGAGCGTTTTCGCTTGCTTCAGCCGATGCACCGTGTAAGAAACTGGGGGTGGGTCCCATTGAGCTTCGTGTAGTGCTCCGCTGTTAGGCTCCACGAGGCGCACCCATACAGGAGAGTCTCCACCACTTCAGCCTGGAGAAGCCGGATCTTGAGCTGGCGGTCGGCCCGTCGCCTGTCGTACATCGAAGCACTGTTCCGGCGGTAGCACTTCCACGCTCGGCAGCTGCGGCTCGTGATCTCCCGGTCGGCCTTCCCGTCCGCGGAGATGGTACGTCCGAGGTACACAAACCGATCTGTCTGCTTGTACGTCTGGCCGGCGGCGCTGACCGTGAACGGGTGTTCCTCGATCCCTTTTGGCAGCATGCACATGATCTCCGTCTTTGGCTCCGACACCATCAGTCCGAACAGGCCGGCCACGCGCACGATGACCGACATCATCTTCTCGAGACTCTCCGGCGAGCGCGAGACGATGGCCGCGTCGTCAGCGTAGAGCATGGCCCACAAGGCCTCCGCGTCCGTCACCACCGTCGTCTTCTTCCCCGCCGATCTGCCCTTTTGCCCGTGTACTCCACTTGTGTCCCGATCTTGACCATGTCCGCCGTCACCTTGGGGTCCTTGTCGAACTCGGCCACGGCGACCATGAGCATCGCGGCAAAGAACAAGTTGAACAGCAGCGGGGCCAGGTTGCATCCCTGTCGGAGGCCTTGGCCCACGTCGAACCATTCCGAGTACTGCCCGTCGTCCGTTCGGACGCGCGCCCTCATGCCCTCGTGGAGAGTGGCGAATGACGCCAGCATCTTCGGGGGCACGCCGAAGCGTCGGAGCACGTCCCACAGTAGGTCTCGGTC